TGAACAGTCTTCATGAATAAGTATCTATAAACTTTATCAGCTGTAGTTTCGAGAAAATCTATACGACTGTATTCCTTTTACTTATAATTATATATTTTTTTTGTACACCAGTTTTTAGTCAGTGTGACGAGCCGAGTTTTATCGTAAGGTTTAATTTAAGAGTAAACGCTCTTCGGGAGGGATTCATTCTTACATTACCGTATCTTTTTTTTTGTAGATGCACTTCTAGCATACTTCTTAACAAATGCCTAAAAGCAGTATCATCCATCCTCAAATAATTTTGGCAATCATTTGGAACATTCTCTCGAAGTTCTTTTAAGAGTACCCTATATCCCGATTGGCCTCTTTCAGATATCCACTTTTTCACCCTTTTACTTGGTCTTTTCTCTCTGTTGACGAACCGTAAAAACAGTGCCATAGCACAAATTATAGCGCGTTTCTTAGCTGAATCCATCTTTTAAAATGAACGGCGAGTTGCATCAAAACTGTTGGAATTCTTAAAAGATCACGAGCCGTATGAAATCTGACATAAAGTGGAAAGTCTTACACCATCAACAATACGATTTCATCGGACAAATTTAGTTGGAAGGCAAAATATGCGAGTCAATATACAAAACAACAACTAGTTTTGGTTGTAGGCCAGGGCAGTTAGCAAAAATAGGAGAAGTTTTTGCAATCAAGCTGATTTTTTCACAGACTATAGTACCCATCAATCTCGCCATCAATAGTAGTCTGTAAAAAAAAGTTACACCTCCTAGGAGGCTTGCTTTTTCCGCCATGATGATTTAAAGATGGCGGCTGGTGCTATTCTTGAAAACAATCCTAACTTTCTTATTTATTAACCGATTTCCGTCAAGTAAAAAAAAATACCTTTATTTTTGAATAAAGAATAAAATGAAAATATAAAATTATTTTGACAGATTGTATTTCTGTCAAAAAAATAAAAAATAAGAATAGAAATTGAATTGGTTCTCTTCAATTTTTTCTGAACCGTAGGTACTTCTTAGTAAAACATTTTTAAAAATATGCGCTTTTTTCTGTGATTTTGAAACAGTTTTTGAGTTTGTGATAGGTTGAGTAATTCGCGAGATATAGTCGAAAAGAACTTGAGAATCCAAAAAAAAAAAAAACTTATGCAGGATGTGAAAACTCTATTTTTTGTATACGCTCCCAAAAATAGCTATTTTTTGGACTCAAATCAGTCCGTAAATTGCTTCATTTCTGGCCTAGTCTGTAAATCTCCATTTTCGGCCTACAGCGTAAAATACTCCATTTTCGGCCTAGTTCCTAAAAGTCGTCATAGCAACCTTGTCAGTACCTGACGCACCTGCCAATGCATAATCAGTTTAAAATTTTTAATGTTGTCACATTCACTTCACATCTTTGAGCTATTACAAAAAAGTATTGTTCGTTTCACGTACCTAAAATATAGGTTTTTTAGGTACCTACTTGTTACAAAAAATACATCTTTTACCTCGATTGACAAAAAAACAGTTGCCTTTGGTTTTAGTTAATTTTTTTTTCTACTGCCTTGCATAAATACTTACTTTACGCACTGTTCAAACGTTGGATTAGATTTCACACACTATTGCGTAAAGTGAAAAAGTTTACTAAATTGTAGTTTTTTCGCAAAAATGCATACCTAAATACCCAAGTATAAAATTTTATATTATAAAAGCCTTTACTGCCCTTTTTCTGCATTAGAAATGTGATTTTACTTCATACCTTAGGTTGTGAACTAAGTTACTTGAGACACTAGGGCGTAAAGTTGTGGTATATTTTTTTTCAAATTTATGGCATTATGATTTATATCGCTCACTTACAATATTGTCGATAGTAGAAAAAAAAATTATGCAACAGGTGTGTAAAGCTTCTTTTTTCATGCATTTGTAAAAAAAGGTTCACTTTAGGCATCTGTTTATGTTTTATACCAAACAAAATTCTAGTACCGACAATATAAAGACATACCCACATTTGAAAAAATATACCACAACTTTACGCCCTAGTGTCTAACTTAGTTCACTAGGGTGTAAAGTAAAACCACATTTTTAGTGCAGAAAAAGGGCAGCAAGGGCTTTTATGATATAAAATTTCATACTTGTGGGTATTTATTATTTATGTATTTTTGCAAAGAAACTAATACAATTTAGGGCAGGTATTATAAAACTATTTTAACAGAATAACTAAAAGTTAACTTCTCGAATGACGTTACTACTACAATAGTGCGTGAAATCTATTTTCACGTCTTTTGAACAGTGCGTAAAGTAAGTACCTACTTCACGCGCGGTAGCAGAAAAAAATATTTGTTGGCTAAAACCAAAGGCAACTGTTATTATGTTGATCGAGCCAAAAAATAAAGTTTTCACATCCTGCATAAGTTTATTTGTTTTGGATTCTTAAGTTATTTTCGACTATATCTCCCTACTCCCAACTACTCAACCTATGACAAACTCAAAAACTGTTTCAAAATCAGAAAAAAAAAGCGCATATTTTTAAGCTTTTTCTGCTAAGAAGTACCTACGATCAAAGTTTACAGCTACGGTTCAGAGTAAATTGAAGAAAACCAATTCAATTTATTTTCCTTTTTTTTTTGACAGAAATACTACCTGTCAAAATGGTTTTATATTTTTATTTCATTCCTTAGTCCAAAACAATAGTTATTTATGCATCAAGTGTGTAAAGTGAACCTTTTTTGACGCACGAGCCGAAGGCGAGTGCGACAATCACATGAGTGAAAAAAGGTGCTTTACGCACGTATTGCATACAAAAATTTTTCTACTACCAATCAAATATATGTAAAAAAATAGATTTAGACAAATACTTTACGCACTAGTGCGTGAAGTATTTTCACTTTACGCACTAGTGCGTGAAGTAATTAACCAGAGAAATATTACATTGACAGTGTTGACATCTGTCATTGACATTACTTTACGCACTAGTGTGTGAAGTGAATTACTTTACGCACTAGTGTGTGAAGTGTAATTTCACGTCTTCTGAATAGTGCGTAAAGTGAGTACTTTACGCACGGTAGTAGAAAAAAGTATTTTTTTTTTACTTGATGAAAATCGGTTAATAAATAAGAAAGTTACGATTTTTTTCAAGAATAGCACCAGCCGCCATCTTCAATTCATCATGGCAGAAAAAGCAAGCCTCCTAGGAGGTGTAACTTTTTTTTACAGAGTACTATTGATGGGTACTATCATCTGTGAAAAAATCAGCTTGATTGCAAAAACTTCTCCTAAAGGCCATTTTTTCAGCTAACTGCCCAGGCCTATTGGTCACAGGTCTTACTCGCAGATGAAGACGTACGTCAAATCGTCGGATCTCTCTGCTCGTCCATGGCAGGCAAAGGAGTTGGCTCCTATTAAGCCTCGCATCCCGATGAAATACGTTTCGATCAAATTGGTCGAGTCATCTGTTGGTGTATGGCTAGGGTTGCCAACCGTCCTGCATTTCGGTGGACTTCCACCATTTGAGGTTCATCGTTTAGCGTCCTGTAACAGCCTATTGCAGGACGCCTATTGTACTTAATTTTTAACTTAATGAAGAATTCTGTCAAATTAAGTCAGCTATAACCCTGGTTCTGTTCTGGTTGATAACGAAAATCATATACATTACTTGAAAATGGAATTTATAATATGTATATTTGACTTATAATGAATTAAAATACTACTGGATCATTTTGCAACTTGTATTTTCTATATTTGGGTTTTGGGTCAAATTATTAGTTCCTATATATGCACCCTAAGAATAGGGTACTTGCATGAAAAATTAAATTCAATATTGTTTATTGCAAACTGTAGGAAATCGAAAAAAAATCTATGCGTGTTTTTCTATTTTGTCCAAATATGATTAGTTCGGAAGGTTATAACAAATATTGAGTTTTATATATAGATATACTGAGCATGTGCGACGTCACAACTCACAACGTATTATACCTAAGTTATGACGTCGGAAGGACATTTCAAAGCGTTGTATCTCTGTCAATTTTTGACTAACAAGAAAAAGAAAAAATACCTGTTGACTTATTTTTCATGGACTATCGAAACCAGCAATCAAAAAATTTGATGCAAGGAGCCTATTCTTGTTGAACAGTTTTTTTTAGTGTATCAGCAGGTATGTTTTTTTTTGTCAAATTGCGCCTAAGTACTTCTTCCTACTTCTACTTTACCTACAGGCACTAAACTTGGGTTGGGTTTCTTTGCATTTCTAACCACACTGATGAGATCTGATAGATCGAAACGCGTATGTGGATGCAAAAGCGAAGAAAATTAATCCAAAATTGTTCATTTAAGTTTGTAAATGGTATTTTTCTCTGCAATAATAAAAATGTCCAGAATTTATACCGTATGTCCTGATATTTTAATACCCTCGTCCAGTAAAATTAAAAAACAAAGTTGGTAACCCTATGTATGGCCAGCTATTATTTGGTTTCGCCGATGTGTATTCGAGACTTTTATGACTGATTTTTTTTGTCTACTAATTTTCACAATGAGCCTACTTTCAAGTACCGATATCTCAAAAAGTAATCGTACGATTTAGGATTTTCCTATAGGACTGTCAAGGGATAGCAACGAGCTATCCAACGATGTGCAACACAAGGTAGGTCCTTATTTTTTTAAAAATAAGTTGGGCTAGCACCCCCTAAGGGTTGAGGCGGGGTGACTCAAAAAGTACCTCATGTTGGTTCCCCCTACAATCCCCCGATATGTATTTGAGATATTCCTGATAGTATATTTTGTCTAAGAGATATTCCCGATTGCTACTTTTTAAATTGTCACCCTGTAGGTATAAACTTTCGGCGGCAAAAAAAAAAAACTCATTTTTTTTTCTCTATTTGGTCAAAGAAACAGAACGATGAACGCGGTATGACCGTCTCGAACGTCAAGAACTAATTGCACTTTACTGTTGCTAGAGCAAATGAAACAAAAAATACCTACTAGTGCATTCTTAATCCTAATTTTCGAAAAAAAAAAACAAAAACAAAATAAATTAATTACCTTCAAAACTCTTTCGTCCTTATACTCCTTATCACAATTCATACATTTATACTCCCTAACATCACTATGGCTCCTAGTATGCCTCTGAAGATCACATTTAGTAGTGAACCTCTTCTCACATAAATGACAGGCAAACTGTTTCTCACCCAGATGTCGTTTCATGTGGCAATCATAATTTGTCTTGATTGGAAATGATTTGTTGCAAATTTCACATCGATACTTCCAATTAGAAGAGTCCGTATGAACTATCAGTCTATGCGATCTAATATCTTTGTGGGTATTGAAGCTTTTGCCACAAAACTCGCAATTGTACTCTCTCATATTCAAATGTTTCTTTTCGTGATTGATTAAGTCGTTTTTAGTGATAAATCCTTGGCCACAATAAGAGCACATATGAGATTTGACTCCTTCGTGATATTTCAAATGTTGCCAGAGGTTTGAGGACGTGGAGAATCTTTGAGGACACCTGTCACAGGAAAACGGTTTGATTTCTTTCAATTTCATTGCATGGTCTTTTATACAATGAGATCTTAGTTTGTTGCTGTTTGAAAAACATTTGTCACAATGTTCGCACGTAAATTTGATTTTTCTTGGACGTCTTGCGACTCCTTGGCTTGAGGTTCGAGGGGATTCTTCTTCAGTGTCACTGTTGCTTTCTGATTTATCTGTGGAATTTATTGAAACATAAATACTTAATGATAGCTTTTAAGTCTTGTTAGTTAATTTTTACCATTTTCTTGCTCATTGTCACTAGAATAAATTGTATCTTCAAAGTTGTCTTCTGGAACGGCTTCTGGTTTTTCTTTTAAAATAATATCAAAATAACTATTAAGTAAATAAATAGATGAAATATTATTACCTTCTCTATCAAATTTTTTAATAGTATCATTTTGTAAATTTACATATCCAGGTCGTTCATACTTTGTGACTCGCACCTCTGGTTCGTCTTTGAATTTGGGTGCTTTTCTAATTATATCTGATTTTATGCATTTGTCTCTGAATAGATGGACCGAGTTCAGTATTTCAGTACACTCTGGACATAAATAATACATAGGTAACCATATCTGGAATAGAGATAGGAAGAATACTTTTAAAAATTATATTCTTTCCAGAGGAACTATTCTATTAATACTTAAAAATTGAACTATTGAGGATAAAGGCATTGACTAATTACATAAAGACTTTAACTGTATGTATATGGAGCGATTCACCCGAGGATTTACCATTCATAGAACGGCTTTTTAATTTAATCCTACAGCTACGATTAGTCAAATCAAATTTAAAATTATCTGTTGTTACTCCCGAAAAGGATTATTTTTAATAGTTGCTTTTAATACCTATCAAGAAATATTCTCTTACTAAAAATACCTGATCCATACAGACATACATGTCTTTGATCTATACTCTTTTAATGAAAAATCGCCTAGAAAAAATACCTTACGTAAAATCATCTGAGATTTGTGACATTTAATGATAAACTTTCAGATTGTTTCACTCCTACTTCTGGAGTTCCCCAAGGTTCAATCCTGGGGCCTCTGCTTTTTGTGATGTTTGTTAATGATATTTTAAAGAATGTACATCACTACATCTCACTTCCTACTTTATGCAGGCGACCTAATGATAATGAATTAAAGCTAATAATATTGGTGTATGTAAGTGCTTGACATTTTTTCGAACAAAAACAGCATCGGTACTGTTCTCACACAATCTAATTTTTATTGACCACATCAAAATTTTGTGTGAGCAGGGCTTGAGGAAATTGAGATTTGTCTTGAGAACTTGCCGGGACTTCCAAGTTTTACTATTCAATGCTTATGTAAGATCAAAACTTGAATATTCAAGTGATATTTTATTTGGAATCCTACAACCAAAGTTCAGTCAGAAAACATTGAAAGAATTCAGATTTTTTTTTACGGTCTGTGTATTTCCATAAACATGCATTTACCCACTTTTCCCAAACCTTGTTTCCTATGAAGATCAGATTCTAGAGTATGATTTAGTTAGGTTGGAAAAACGACGTGGACTGAATACTGAATGATATTCTGTTTGTATTCAAAGTTTTGCAACATGATTCTGTACTTGAAATAATGCAATATATATTTTTTAATGTAGGTACCTGATGTTAGCCTACGAAGGAGACATGAAACGTTTAATGTTTTCCATGTAGGTATCTCACCAAAGTTCACCTGTAAAGAGATGTTTGCGAGCTGCTAATGCCTTTTGTCAAAAGTACTTGAACTTTGATATTTTCTGTGATAAAAAGGGTCATTTGTTAAAGCTTTATCATAGCTAGATTTTGGTGTGTTTTGATTTGTGTTTATATTTATATTTATTTTTATATTCACATTTATACATTCACATTTTGTGTTGTTCAACTGGCCTTCTGATAGGCATGTTTTTTTTCTGGTTTCAAATTTTATAATATTTTTGTCTGGAACTTTCTCTAATGTCATGATGTTTCTACCTACTTAGTAACTGAACTGTGTATCTGTTGTGGAAGCTTTGGTCTGTTGGCTATGCAGTATAAATAAAGTTCTTTATTATTATTATTTTTAACTGTGAAATTTGTCTTGCACATCCACTGGAAGGTCTTTCTTCACTCTGTAAAATACTTGAGGATAACGAAAGAAAAGTCCGCCTTTCCAATAAATTTATTTGTCAAATACACCCGACGCACTTCGGTGGGTTACACCATTATCAAGGCTAAGTGAAAATATACAAGCTTAAGTCATAAGAGAAAAAATGTAGTCATATAACAGGAATCAAACACATGTCTTAGAAGAAAAACATATCCTCGATTCTCTAAGGACCAAATTCATAGTCATTCCTTGATGGTCGTTAGTATACACTGGACATTTTTACTATTAACATAGGTTTATCATGTCTCCCACCAAGTCTTCCTCGAGGTCGGAGGAGTTTTCAAAAAGCGACTATAAATTCGGCTGATGGGGAAGTTGTAGCAGCGGTGTTCTATGCCTTAGGCATATTACAGCTTCGAAGAATTTTATAATGATGATTTTTGAATGTAGTGGTTTTGCTTTTGGGATCTTGTAAGCTTTTTAGTCTCTATTTTTTTTATACTGCTAGTTAGTTTTTTTGTAAGTTTTTTCTACTTGGGATATGTATTTTAGCCTGTTCTATTCTTTTCTGCATTTTGTTGTAGATTATTTGTCTTTATTTTTATGTAATATGTAATATGTATTGATATTGTTAGGTAATTAGATGTAACGAGATCGCTTTGTCAATAAATTCATGTAATTTCAGACAATAAAACATATGTTATGTTTACGTGTGTGTCTCAGAACGCTGCCTTATGGTATGGAGTTAGGATTAGTGCTCCCTGATTAGCCTCTTACTCAACTGATTGACTTCAAAAATTTTACTTGATGGTTGGTAGAGGGTGCCTCAGAGTTCTCTCCTTGGACCCTTGCTATTTCTCATTTCCATTGATGATTTAACCAAGGATTTAACTAAGTTGAGTATAGTTTAACTCTTAGTATAACAGGTCTTTTTACATGTTTCGTGCATGACGCAAGGATCCTTTGGTTTAGTAAACTTTCAGTTGTTGAAGCTATTATCAATCAGTGTTATGACTGTTATGAGTGGCATTGAAAGTTCACTTTTGTTTGTCTTAAACACCTTCGGTACCTTCTATATATTTTTCCATATTCATCCATTACAATATAGGATCTATCGTTAACCTTCTCCATTAGGTACTTTTGCTTTTTTCCAGCTGAATTAAAATCGTCTCACCGACAAGTAAATCAGGTAAATCCTGGGGTAAATCTTTTGCATTTTTATCATGGAAACATTTTTGACTTTTTTGATTCTGTGTTTTCTTGTTTCTTTAATATTAATTATTTGACAAGACTTCAGCTCTTGCCTGCTACAAGTTATTTATTGTTTTATTGTTATCTTGGATTACGCATTTACTTAATTATTTCAACCTGTGTGTTGTTGTGTCCATTGCTTTGCTGTTTTTCACCCGAGTTGTATGGACCGTTTCACCGAGGTTATAAAACTGGGTGGATATAAAATTTTTTGCTCGTTCAACTGTCAGGCCGAATCAATTGGAAAAGAAGAGAAAGACAAGATGTACGAGGAATAAACAGAAGATCTTGAAAAGGAAATAAGAAATAGGGAGACATCAGTGGCGGTTCCTCCATAAGAGCACATGTGCACGTGCACTCCCAAATTAATATCAAACAACTTTAAATTTAATTTTATCATTCTTCAAATTTTAACATTCTACCTGTAAAGTATTAATTTAAAAAATTAGTGGCCAAATGCGCCAGCAAAACAAACGCAACCGGCAACGCTGGAATCACAGCGTCCACCGCGTCGCCTGAACGCCCCGTTCACTGCACATTTCAATATTAAATCCAATTGGTGGAACTATGCCCCCCCGCACTCTTTGTTCCCCGCGAAGGTCTAGCGACGTTCGATGTTTTAAGCTGGCTGGTGTGCACATGTAGTCAGTGCACTTTGGGATCGGAAGCCCTTGTTTTATATTTATTTCGATTTCGAGCGCGATTTAACTGAAAACTGTGTGTAGAATGGCGGGATTTCTGAACCCCGATAGCCTTAGCGTGCAATATTTAAAAACATTTAAATTTTCTTCGCTTTCTTTGGAGGAAAAAATCCAAATCAAATGTGTCGGCCGTCCAAAACCAAATTTAATAATCACCAACATAACAAAATGCAAAAGTCGTGATTATAAACGAACTTTTACAATGGAAACTTACGAAAAAACTGACTGGTTGTGCGGTTGTGATGTTAGTAATAGTCTTTACTGTTTTCCCTGTTTGTTATTTGGAAGCGATGAAGCATCAGAATGGACAAAATCCGGCGTTAAAGATTTAGTACATTTATCCGAAAAAATTAAAAAACATCAAAACTCAAAATCACATCTTACTCTTATCTTTCAATACAAAACGTGTCTGTGAGATTGAAAACTATAATACATTTATGTATAAAAACAATTGTTAGACCAGGACGATGTACTCAGTGAGGTAAGTTACTTTGTTACTTAATTTCTAGTTTATTGATATAAGATCCTTCAATTTCCACGATTTGATAGACCGAAAAAAGTATTAAATTGAGCTTAGTTGGTTGTTTGGTAGGGTAGATATGAAATCCCTTAACAATATTTTTAATTATTGGTAGGTAAACACATCACATAACTCATACGATCACTTACAATAAATTATTTTTTTAAAGGCCTAAAATAAACACTTCTGGGCGTGGCGTGGCACCCCAAAAAATTTCGCGCCTCCGGCGGGCATCCCCCTTTCGGCATTTATTATGAATTACAAATTATGTGCACCCCCAATATGTTATACCACGAGCCGCCACTGGGAGACATACATAGAAAGGCTAAGGAGGAACAGTCGAGCATTTGAGGAAGTGGTCTCGGAAGCAGAAGGAAAATTCTCAGACCAACTTAAAAAACTCAATGAACGCAATACTATTTTATCTAGTGAGCTCCAACTTTTGAAGAAGAAGGAGTTGGCAGTAATATGTCAGATGGAATCAATGCAGGAGGACAAGGCAAAATTGGAGGTGAGAATTGAAGAACTCATTTCTCTAAACAAAAATCTGATAACTTTGGAAGTTGAAAATGAGGATAACATAAGGGAAGTAAAAAAGTTGAGACAATCAGTAAGTGACCGGCAAGCCAAAGCCACAAGAGTGGCCGCTACTAGTGTAATCAGTGACCGAGGATCAGATATTTCAGAAAGTGAACAATTACTAATGCTAGGAACTGATAAGATTGTGGGTAATATTAACCATATTGTAAAGGTAGGAAGAAGGAAAATAGCTATTTTCGTAACGAGTGTGGAAAGAAAAATTTCCGGCACGAGAGTGCGAAGCGCCCGAGTGCCGGAAATTTCTTCCCGCAAGAGTTAGGAACTATATTTTTTCTACAAGCATACTAAAGCTGATGTTATGAGAAGTTTAATTTAAATAAAATGCGATTAATAGACCTATCTATTTTTACCTGTATGCACGCGCAACACGAGGCAATGCATTTTTATTGGCTAACTAGTACAGGTGTTAAGTA